TAATTATATGTCCTTTTTTATTAATCATAATTAGAGAAAAGGTTTGAGAAATATGCTTTGAAAAACACATCTGGATAATCTGTAGCTCTTTTCATCTGTCAAATAACATGTAGTTACTGTAAGGAGGGTGGAAATTCTTTCTAATTTCGACAACTAATTTAGATCTGATATTTATAAGCATAAAAATGCCAGCTGGGTTTGGCACGCGAAGCTTGGTGCTACAAAAACACTCCTTACCATGGATGGCATCTTTAAGCTGCTCTAGGCTCTCTTCATTTGACGCGTCCGTACACATCTCTTTATTTTCTGCTTGATCCTTTATCAACATTTCACCTTTTGCCCACGAAGTAGGATGACAGTACAGTCTGTGGTCTCTTAATGCCCAGGAGTGCTCCATGCTAACCGTTATAGGGCTTGGAGGGGCAAGCACAGCAGATCTAGAAGCTTCCACCTCCACAGGTGAGGACGTTTGGTCATTGTTTCTTGGCGAGCTAACATTTCCATTGGGCAGTGGTACTGGAAGGGAAACCTGATCAATCCCATCTTTCATTTGGTCCACCTGCATTTCAGAGTCTAGGTCTACAGAAGTCTCTACGCTTGTAGCGGATTTCAGCACCCCATCTGCAAATTCAGTCGCCGCAACGTCGTCTTCCTCCATCTCCTCCTCCGAGTCAGACAGATGGACCAATTCTCCATTTCCAATAAGAGGTTTACCTGAAGCTGAGTTTTTTTGGTGCTCGTGGTCCGTCTGTACACCCTGCATTTCCTCCGGTTCCTCTACCGACGCCGATTCATCTAAGGCACCCATACTTGTGACATGACCTATATCGGCACTTTTTATTTGATTACCTTCCATTTCTGCCTGTCCTCTGCCTCGACCGCGGCCGATCGGTCTTCCCCTATATGTAGCTCCTCTGCCTCGCCTGTGGCCGATTGAACTTCCCCTAACTGCAGCTCCTCTCCCTCGACCTCTCCCCAACATGGCCCCTCTGCCTCGCCCTCTGACCGCTATTGCTCCTTGGCTCACTGGTCCGGAATACGATGGGTCCTCTTCCCTTTTATCAACATATGTCTTCTCTGCTGCTACAGTCATCCTTGTAGGTGACGCCAACATGTCCTCGTTTGTCAGGGCGGCTCCATTTGTTTGAGCAGCACAGTCATTTTTTGGTCCAACTTCCGTGATGGCTGCAACCGGCTTGGGAGCAGGGCTTTGTGACCGAGGTACAGGGTTCTCCACCTCCTCCAGGCCATCATCTTCACTGCATGATTTTTGTATGTCTTCCTCACTTAAATGAAGGCTCCTGATACGCGTCAACTGTGGTGGTTTTCTTTCAGGGGTGTCCCCGAGGTATTTACTGGCTCCTCTCCCTCTACCCCTCCCTCTCCCCCTGCCTGAGGTTGCGACATTGTGTCCCTTACTGTTAGGCCCACAGCAATCACAGGCCTTAGGAGTCCTTTTCCTGGCTGATCTACGGCCATTGATTTGGTCCTGAGAAGAGGTCTGTGTCTGGGGCCTGATGGATGCGGCGCTCGTTTTAGTGCTTGGTTTTGCTGTGGTTACATGGCGATGTTCATCAGTAGGAGGCGATAATGCTGGATGGGAAGTCAATTCTGCAGAGGTCTGCTTTAGTTCCTGTTCTGTAGCACCTCTGGGACAAGACAAAAGGGGTGCTTTAGAACACACAGTCAGGTGAAGCGAGTCAGACGGCGTTGTCATTGGGGAATTAGAGCTGCTGTGAACCATGACGTCCAGCTTCGGCTCTTTAACCCCATCCCTCTCCACACTGCCGTCCCCTTCTCCCTTTAAGCTTATCTGCTTACAGTAAAGGTATATTGATCCACCCTTTACATCTCACACGTTCCTCCACGTCTAATTGGAAAAATTCGCACGGACAACAGGAGGCAAGATGAAACGGCTTCTCTGGGTCACAGCGACACCATGGTCTCCTAAACATAGTGAATACAAAAAAAAGGACATTACATTCATTTGTCATTTTGAAAATATACATACATAAAAACACTAAAATTAATCAGATGCTTTCAGATTAAATTTAATTTTAATCCTGATAACATTTTGTTTAGGCCATTTTCTTTCTTAAAGCTGTTACAACATGTGCTGTCAATATAAAAATCATAAAAGGATTATTTAACTTTATGTCACAACTGATTTCAACTCTTCTGCGCATTAATATCGCTTTTGATAAAAAAAAAAAAAAGATTTCTGTAAATGGCTAAAAGCAGCATGAACAAAACAGATCTGTATTAAAAATGGTCTGATTTGTATTTTTATTTCTGTGCAATATAACAATTTCTTTGAAAAAACTATAAAGTTTTGATTTTATTAACTTTAAGCGAAAAACAAAAAAGGTTTGAAACATGAAACTTTCTGTCTAGTGAACTCAGTTCAGTTTTACCTTTTCAAACTAAATAACTTTAACGTGTCAATTACATTTTAAATAGCTGAGATGCAGGTGTCTGCAGATTCTGTAGATTTCATTGTTATTCTAATGACTAACTGCACGTTGTCAAAAAAATAATAATAATTTAAAATAACCAAAAAAAAAAAAAAACGGGGGATAAATGCTTAAAATGACAAAAAATCTACGTGAAACGGTGGTAAATGGAGAGGTAAACGTCATCATCCCGGGATGTTTTCCTCCTAATCCCACTGACTACTCCATCAGTGACGACAAACACCAACAATTCCTCTAAAGATGATAATTAACGCAACAAACTTAATTAATATTATCCAACGCGTTGCATTATAGAAATCCAACATATACACGTATATTAAACTCTGTTAATAACCAACAGGTTCGTTCTGGAACCGTACGGCAACATTTCCCAAAGTTTTGCATAAGTTTTCTATATCTCCGAAGCTAGCTGCCATGGCTAGCTGCAGACAAAACACAAAGCGGCAATTTCCTCCATTTTCAGAGGGAAGTGCGAAAGCGTTTGACCAAGAAGGAACTACGACCCCAGTCTCTAAAACAATAAAGCTTTGCACAGGCTAAAGCACAAGCATAAAATCAAAATAGACGTCGTTAAACGTAACCTTGCCTGTAAAAAAATATCAAGCTGGGTTCCGTCTGGCCACGATTTGAAGAAACAATCCGAGCATTCGTCGCCCCTTCATTGCGTCATCACGTTGTCTTCTTCTACTCAATCTAAGCGACGTCCGGTGTTGTGTCGAAAATATGCCCCCCCTAACCTGAACACCAAGTCTATTTTCATTCATTTTTTATGTGTTGTTGGGCTGTGCATATTCATAGAAATTTATAGGTTCAAAGTTTTTATTCCCAAATATTTAACTACGAGCTCATAAAAAAGTTAAAATTGCCTTTGCCTTTGTCTTTTTGTAACTGGGTGCATCTAATACCGAGTGTACATTTTTGGGCACAACACCCCCCCCTATTTTAAACAGTGGATTTAGATTATTATCAATATCTTCACAGACTTTCCGTGCAAACAAATCTTGTAAGACTTTAATAGTTAAGGGTTACCTTAAGGTTAGAAATATGCTAAATTCTTGAAAGTATTTTATTAAGTTATTTAGTAAATTGTAAGTTGTTGAAGAAGTTGTAATGAATCTTTTGTTGATAATATTATAATATTCCACATTATTCAATTTACTGTTTCAATCATTGCAGAAATAATTGTTATACAGTTAATTGGTTTTTAGTTGAATATTTATTAGACAATAGACATCTCCCTGCTCCTACTAAACTGTGTAATTTTAAAATAGAAATTTATACAGGAAACAATAAAACGTTGAACATGCTTTATACATGAGCTTGGTAAAACTAGCTTCTATGAAGCTTTTACTAATTAAAATGTTTATTTAAATTACAGCCGACTTGATTTTTTTTTCCTATTTTGAATAAGTATTGACAGAAAATATGATTACTTCTTCTGTGCCTTATACAGTAGGATACCAAAATATTCCAGCACTTTTTAACTGATTGAATGGGTTATAACGGGTTATCTTTTATGACGCCAGAGGGCGCTGCTGAGACGTTTTGGGGGGATTTACAATAACTGTCCAGTAGATGGGAGTGAAATAGATGAGTGACTGATCCCCTTAAGTAACTGCTAAAATTATAGACCCACAGACAGCTGTAATATATCCTGATTTTAGGGTTGTAAATGTATGTGCAATGGTTGCATAAAACATATGTATTACTTTAATGTAAATTTACTTCTTTTTTATTAATTTGTTTAAGGCTTTCCAACAAAAAGTTTAAAAGCAAGCACTGGACTTTGTTTTCCAAGTCTGAAGTCGTTTCAAACGTTTTTTAAAAGGATTTTTATATTATTACTCAGGGCAAATCTAATTATAAGAGATGCATGAATCTGTAACATCAGTTTTATTGAAATTACTAATTAAGTACAAATTTTTCCTGGCTTAGATCCACATAGACTGTTTAATGTGACATGATATACTGTATAAGAAATGTTTCAATTGCCTTCCAATATTATATTTACAAATACAACTCAATAAAGATGGTAATCATTTTAACTTTTAAAATGAATTTATGCTGCATTTAAGAATGTAAATATATAAAAACGTGAAAAAAGATAAAATGTCTCTCTTATAAAACTATACTCGCCTTAAGTAAGACAAAATCACCTGGAAACACATTAAAATGCAATTATATATATTTAAAAACATGTAAATATTACATAAATTTTATATATATATATATATATATATATATATATATATATATATATATATATATATAAAATCTTTTCACTTTCATCCATAACTCCCTTTTTGAACCAATGACATTTACTTGATCATAACAAAGAAACAAATTCACAAGACTTACTTCAATTATTCTCCTCCTAAAAAATAAGTGTGAAAAAGTTCTTATATTGTTTTTATTTTAATGTCATTTGAAATAAAAATAAAATTCTCCCAACATTAAATAAAATATACTGTGGTCTTTATTATTGTTAATATAAAATATAATAATCAATAACAACCAGAAACGATGTGTGGTGATAAACTTTATTTACAAAAACAAACTGGACAAGAGAACAATAAATAGGACTTGGTACAGAAAAAGTAAAGCAATAAATCTGAACTATTAAGAATGAATCTAAATAGTTGAAAGTTACCTGGTAGAAAATATTAACATTGTAATTACAGTTTGAAAGACTTTGGCTGTTTCCTGACTTTTCAAACATTGAATAAAACCATTACAGCTAAATCTTAAAAAAAAAAAAAAAAAAAAAAAAAACAAATAAAAAAGAAGGGAAAAACAAAAATATTGGAGACAGCATTGAAATATTTCCAAAGAAAAAAACAATGCTGTTACTATTTTTACATAAAGTCAGTGCTATACTTTTCTCCACTAGCAGAATAAAAAAAACATCAGAAAACAAACGGCTATTTACAATAGTTTATGACTTGAATAATATAAGGTTGTCAAAGTTATTAGTGTCATACAGACACCAAACAATGCAGATATTTAAACAATAATTAATTTCCCAACAAAAGCTATGGTTTTCACTGAAGCGAGGGAAAATTTAATATGGCTGTATTAATGTGAGCACATTCATAAATGCTATGCTGCCTCATACATCCCACAGGTACAGTAAAAAGTGGCTCCACATACAGGTATAGTTTATTTTTCTTCCAAAACACTGAAAAACTGAACAATAGATTACAGTTATTTTCAAATGAATCTGTTTGGCATCTGAATTAATAAAGGAATACAGTTCAAAGCAGGAAATAAATTGAATGTAAAAACCTATATTACATTTTTGCACATGGTTTCTGCCATTAAGATCAGCTGGTAGGAAACAAGAAGGTAGAAACATTGACGCTGGAAAAGATGACCACGGTGCAGCAAAGAGTCACCATTATGTTGTAAAAACGTAAAAAGTAACATGCAAAAGAACCAAAGTCATCTACAATGTGCATAATAAAATAAAAAAAAAAGGTACAAATAAATTCAGAATACATTCATGTATATGCCTTGCTCCAGAAATGAATGCCACTACCTATGAAAATGTGTTGTTAATTGCCGGGGTGTGAATGGTCTTTGAGACGGCCGCTCCAGTCCTGCCGCCTGTGGTCAGCACCTGTAGCTGCACCCGGTAAACGCTGTCAGCCTCAAGCTCATCAACAGTGATGGAACGTTCAGACTGTAGGAAGTAAAACAAACACAAGTTGCAGGAGTTAAATGCTTAAAAACTTTAAACTTTAGAAATAAATCTTAGATATAGAGTAGCACCGAAGACCTAAATCTGCCCTTCTCATTTTACATTGCAAAAAGTACATCAAAGTAGGCGCATTTTCTTGAAATAAGACTAGATAAGAAATAATTGAAATAAGAGTAGATAAGCATTACCAATATAAAGTGCAGCAGTGATCAGAATGTAAATAATGTAGAAGAAAAGAGAAAACAGTTTAAATTATAGTCCAAAAGGGCATTAATATGACATTTCAGTGCAGCGCAAAAATAAATATGGTGCAAAATGCAGTAGAAGGTTGAGTTGGGTCCTATTGAAAAGGATTATAAAATTCAGCACGTTGGTTTTGCAAAATAAGTGGATTTTTCCTATATTTGAGAAGATAAGTCAGACAATATGTCAACCAAATAAGGTAATTTACATTAGATATGAGAAAAAACAAACATTTTATTTTCTATCCATAATGTCTATTTTATTATCTTAAGGACATAAATATTAATTCCACTGGCAGATTAAGGGAAATTACACTTATTTTAAAGTATTTTAACTTATTTTCAGTTTTCTTTCCCTTGCTGTGTTTATACAAAATGATACAGCTAATTGATTTCTACACCTTTCAGAAGCCATTACAACAAAAGTGTTTCAGGTCGTGTATCTAAGTAAAGTATAGCCACATAGTAAAGCACATTTCCCACCTCGTATCAATGCTTTCTTAATGATTGAGCAACTGTTACCAAATCAGTCATGATTATGTACTTTATTTTGGAAAGCAGGAGACTTAAAACTTGAATAAAAAATCCAGGACAGGTGGTTGAGCTCAACAATGCTGCTTTTCACATGAAACAATGTTTTTGTGGATGAATATAAAACGCACTCAGCTTTACTGGGAAAAAGAAAAAGAGGGACAACACATTGCCCTTAAATAAAGGTCTGGTATACATGCATCTGTCTGCACTTGACTGTTTAGGTCGTTACACACAAAAGTCTCTATATTATTCTGCATGTTTAGTGCAGGACTGATTGGTCACATATAAACAGCCAATGTGAGAATTCTGCAGGAAGCAGACTTTGCAACATATTTGGTAACCGTCAGCTTGGGGGCTCAAGCTATGTTCAAATGCAGTCGGGTATTCACACCTTTTCTGATTACCAGTATTAAAAAAATTAAATTAAATTAAAAGCAAATAAATAATAATAAAAGTGAAAAAAATAGCAAAGCTACCCTCAAAAGGAAATACATCCTAACGAAGCCAATGGATGTGGTCTTCACTTGTCACCATTATTGTAGGAAATACAGGTTAAGGATGCAAAACACATAAAACCATGGCTCCAACTCCTCTTTTATGTTATTTTTTAGATTCAGTGTACCGGTAGGTTATTTTTCTATTAACATACCCTTCTTCTATGAAGGACCAACTCTGCCATATTTAAAAATAAATACAGAAATAAATAAATGCTCAATAAATGTATAAGCATACAATTAATTGCCAACAAAAAAGTGAGACATAAATGTATATAACTCTTAATTAGCTTCTTTATTTATTTGCCTTTGTAATATTTACCTTATTTATTTTTCTGTCCTTTATAATCTTCAACTTTATTTTTTAATTACTTATATTTTTAAGTATTTATTTATGTGCATGTTATAATATTTTTGTCTTTTTTATTCTTCCTTTGTATTTTTTTACCTTAGTTATTTCTTTGCCGCTGTTTATTTCTCTCTGCCCTTTTTACATTTCTCTCTGCCCTTTTTACATTTCTCTATGCATTTCTGTCTCATTATGCAAATGAGGAGGGGGTGTGTCCTAGAGAGTCAACTTCTGCTCATTGGTTGGCTTGGCGGTCCATCTTCTTAACTCACAGAGCTCAGAGTACTAAGTTAAATGTTCTCTTTTCTGTTGCTGTTGTTCAATAAAAGTACGTTTTAAGATCATTTGAGGCGAGAACCTTATACTTTTAAGCATCACCATATGGCCCATTCACAGATTTAATGCGTAATTTAAAAGAAAATGTGACGAACTTGAGAGGACCGTGGCAACCAGCAAAGCTCCGAAGCTGACGGCAGCCAGGTCTAACCACAGCCCATCTGCAGCGGCCCTCTCCTGGCATAGCCGTGTGTGAAGCGTGTTGGTTAGCATTTTACTACATCGGTCGAATCTACAGGAGGAGAGTCTGATGTCGAGTCTGAAGTCATTAGAACTTTAGTAGGGACTTTGCCAAACTTATAGCATAGAGAAATGTAAAAAGGGCAGACAGAAATGTAAAAAGGGCAGAGAGAAATAAACAGCGGCGAAGAAATAACTAAGGTAAAAAAATACAAAGGAAGAATAAAACAGACAAAAATATTATAACATGCACATAAATAAATACTTAAAAATATAAGTAATTAAAAAATAAAGTTGAAGATTATAAAAGACAAAAAAATAAATAAGGTAAATATTACAAAGGCAAATAAATAAAGAAGCTAATTAAGAGTTATATACATTTATGTCTCACCTTTTTGTTGGCAATTAATTGTATGCTTATACATTTATTGAGCATTTATTTATTTATTTCTGTATTTATTTTTAAATATGGCAGAGTTAGTCCTTCATAGTCTTCCCTATTAATGGAGATATTACTATGTTTTGTTTTTAGGTTGGGAATAATGATCTTTTCCATTCTCCAGAAAGCAACTGAGTGCAGGTACAGTTATGTTTGAATGTTTATGTGCCCTTCTATTAAAGTCAGAAAAAAAGAAAATGGAAATATTGACATTGGTTTTGAATATTTATATATACATATGTATATATATTAATAAATAAAACAAGTAAGCAAGCCTGATGGAGCTCCTGAACCAAAACCTTTTTTTCTGTAATGTTCTGAAAATGTTCATTTAGAGTTTTGCACCTGCTGACAGATATGTTGATTCGCTGTTCATAGGCAAGATAATTTAATTCTCTGCTTAGTTTTTGATTTTTTGGGAAAAATTTTTTTTCAAATAACAATCTGAAATTGATATTTTATTTGACTAAATCATAATTTAGTTAATTCTATTATTACCTTTTTCAGTTTAGTGTGAATTTATCATTTAAAGGGAGGGTATTTAAACGTTCAAGCACAATTGTACAAAAGACAGAAACAGAATCTCTTTAATTTACAAATAATTGTTTAGGGACTTCATGTGAAATGGAAAACCAACCTGTAAATTCTTTATTTAACACAAGTAGCTCCTGTATAAATGGTGCGGGTGTATGAACAAACCTGTCGTGTTTGCTTTGCCTTACCAGTGCAATAGTTTGGGTCTGGGAGATAAGAGCATCTTCCTGCCTCGGTTCTGCAGGACTGAGCTCAGGCTGCAGACTCCAGGTGAACTGGAAGCCCTCCACAGCTGCTGAGTCAACTGCATGATGGGACATCCTCCAGCGAAACGTTGTGAGCAAAGTACCATTGACTTGATGAAAGTCTGCAGTCAGTCGTTCTGGACGCAGTACCACCTTTCTCCCTGCCAGGGGGCGCTCTAAAACAAAAATAGAAGGAAACATTTAATCAGTTTCTCATTTATACACAACACTGGTATGAATTAGTTTACTGTTATTTAAGAATTATTAACACTAAAAAAATTAAATCTCTTGTAAAAATGTCCCATTTCAACTTTAGTTAATTTAATTAATGTTTTAAATGGAAAGTCTGTTACCGTCTTTGCTGCATGGTGAAGCTTTGTCTCCTCTGACCCTAAAGGAGGAGCAAGTCGGGGTTGTAACCCAGGCAACAGCCTCTACCTTCGGATCAGCCGCCATTGCCACTGAGACCCTGTACTTGCAGGCAAATTGCAGACCTTTAATAGTGTGGTGGGTACCCTGCAGAGAAGAGAAAACTTAAGTGGAGAGGCAGCTAAAAGTGTTTAAAAAAAGTTATATTCATTTTAACTAAATGTGCATCAACAACTTTCATTAAAACCAAGGATGCTTAACTCATACACACTTCCTCTACTTATTGTTTCAGCACCTGTCTTTCACAAGCACTTGTTCACTCCAATATAAAATAAACACTCGGACAAACTCTGGCAGCTTTACATGGCAACAAATCTTACCGCTTCAAAAAGCCTGGAATTCACTTCTGTAAACTCAGCAAATTGCGCACAGCAGTTTTATATGACATGTCTTGGATGAAATGTTACACCTCTGGCTCAACATTGGCTCAACAGAGGGAGTAGTATCAATCAAAAAAGAACAAACGATATACTATATGACAATTTATTTGAATTTGTGAGTGCCTTGGAAAAGAATTCACTTGAACTTTTCACATTTTGTCATGCCTCAGCCACAAACTTAAAGACATTACTGAAATGATGTGATAAAGACCAAGCAGTGCTCTAGATAAACCACGGTTAATTTAAAAAATAAACAGTTTGAAGCTGGGTTAGTCAACAGAAGAATATAGCAACATTTCTGCATCCCAGGACACTTAAAACTTCTCATCTAAGAGTAGATAAACTGGTAAAACTCTAAACAAAGACATTGACATGCACCTAAACTGGCAGACTGTGGATGGGAGCATAAATCATGGTTACTCTAACAGCTCAGCAGAAATCTCCTCAGTAAAAACTATTTTGTAAAAATAACAGTAAAAACCTGCCAAGTTGTCATAAATCCTCCCTGTCTGTTTTTCAGGGCTGGTTGGCTTTGCTCCATTGAGCAGATGCACCTTTCTCTTTCCTATCAACCCCATTTCTCACCGCTCTTATTATGCTTATTCAAATCTGCCTCTCTCTGTCAGTCTTTGCCAGATTGTCTCATCCTTATCTGTATCAGGATCATTCCAGTGATTGTATGCACACCCTGCCCTCACTGGTTCCTCTTTAGTGTCAATGTGCATCGTCTGCCTTCTGTGTTCCTGTGGTCAACTGGATTCTCTTTGGCTTCTGACAGTAGTGTCATGATCCTGGCACTGGTGGCTGGCTCATTCCATTCACCTGTTTAACACTTCCCGGTTTCTCCATCCATTTTCTAACACCCTTAATCCCAAGTTGGGGGGGTGGTGCCTATCTCTAGCCGTCAATGGGCGAGACACGGGGTCCACCCGGGACAGGTCCCCAGTCCATCGCAGGGCAACATAGAGACAAACAGGTCACAACCATTCACACCTGGTGGACTTTAGAGAAGCCAATTAACCTAACAGGCATGTTTTTGAACTGTGGGAGGAAGCCGGAGTACCTGGAGAGAAGCCATGCATGCTCAGGGAGAACAAACAAACTCCATGCAGAAAGACCCTGGGCTGGGAATCCAACCAAGAACCTTCTTGCTGCTACCCGGGCGGGCTGCTCAGGGGCAAGGCTAGGTTTCTCATTACCACTTATCCGATCCACCTGTTTCCAGCTCATTTATGTGCTGCTTGTTTTCAGCCACCAGAGTCAGATTATTTTAGCTGTTGGGAAAGTAACTCTAGCCATCAAGTAAATCTGTTTTCTGTTTTGTGTATTGGAGTTTTTTGCCTCGCCCTTGTCTGCTCTGTCTGCTGTGGTTTTTTCACTGTTTTCCTGGATCGTGTTGGTTACTGAACCTGGAATGTTTCTCTTGGATTCTCCTTACGGACACCGTTGTTCCCTTAGCGTCAGCTGTCATCAGCTTATCGTCACTTGGGGCGCTGGAAGCGGCTACGGCTGCAAACGGTGGACAATCTCACTTTCGTCTGGGATCAGAATGGACTATGAACCAGGTCAGTAACTTTTTGCTGCTAGTCATGATTAGCCTGACATTCCAGTCACTGACCTGTGTTTTCTACCTCTGCAGTGAATCCAGTTGTCCACCCCGCTGATGATCAGCTGCTTGCTGAGTTATTTTTTCTAAATAAAGCTTGTTGAAAACCACCCACCGGGGCTAGTCCGGGTCCCAGTGATGGTATGCTCCCCCCCGCCTGCCTTACTGTGCTTTCCGGACCATCCCCGGAGCTGACGGCTTGGTTCAGCTGCACTGTAGTCGACCAAAATCACAGACAGTTTTGAAATTCCTCCTGGACATTTTTTTAGGTATGAAAAGTAGGACATGTCCGGGGGAAAAAGAGGACGTCTGGTCATCCTACCATATCAACTATTTGATGTTTCAGTGAGTGAGTGCTTGTTGCTACAGTATGATGCGTCTTTGCTCAGCAGCTTCGCTCGTTGTAAACCAACCAATCAGTGCACAGTGCATCTAAATATTCATGATCATACCATAAAAGGAAAAAACCTGTCGTTTCATTATAGGGCTTTTAACCAGGCTTGCATTAGGGCTCACAGAACAGAAAATATGCCATTTTCAGCCAAACCAATGTTACACACCCTATTCAGTGACCTTAAGGACCAGCACCAAGTACCCTATAGAATCATTCTATGACCCCTTTAAAATTTTTTTATTTCTATTTTCCAAAATGTGTGTTTTTTATTTTCATTTCCATTTACAAAACATATTATTTCATTGCAGCAATAATAGAACAAAATTCCCCACACTACTAGATTTCTTATCGCTTTCATCCACAACAACAAGCCAAAATATATGATAGAGGTAGATAAGATTGGAAGGGATTTCATGAGCAGGAATTGTTGCAGAAAAAGTTCTTAATCACAAATGTAAATTATTATTGAATGTGATATCTATAAACAAAATAGCAATAAATGCATGCAAATCTGAGTACAGACCCAATGAGACGAAGGCAAGGATATGGAGACACATGAAACTCTAGATATCTTTAAAATATTGCTACAAGCAAATAACGCAAAAGTGTGAATTAATAAAACATCTGGACACCAGGTCATGTAAAGACGATGCATACCTCCACCGTTATTGTTCTGTCTCCTCTTGTGACATTTGCACTGCAGGTGTGTGGATGCCACCGCAAAATGAAAGGACCTCGCTGTCTCTGCTTGTCTGTAATATAGAAAACAGTGTGTAGAACTATGGCTTTTCTGTTTAATCCCAAATAAGATCTGCAGTTTAGTGCCTAATATCTACTCACTGTGATTAGAGCGCTTCCAGAACACCTTCACCTGCAGCTGATTGTTGTGGAAATGGGGGGCAGCGACTTCCAGCCGCAGATTTTCAGAGGGATTCGGAGGCAAATCCACATGAGTCCGACGGGAAGACTTGGGAAGCTGGGAGGAAGAGGAGGAGGATGCTTGAGAGGGAGAGGAGGGTAGGGACGAAGATGACGAGGAAGAGGGCAGCTCATTTGAGATGTCTTCACCTTGGAGGAGAGGACAGAGTTTTTATGGTTTTAGTTTGCAGAACTGAAGATAGACCCACAATTCAATGTAAATATGTGTACTGTTTTAAACAGATATTTAAATGTACTTTATAACCTTTATTTTACTGACATTTTGAAATAAACCAGACTAAACTGTTTACTAATTGTCAGAATTATAAGGGAGAGAAACACTCTCTTATTTTCTTTAAAGTCAGCTATTTACAACAACAAACATTTCTAAAAGTATGTATAAAAGCTAGTGGAGTAAATAAAATGCTGGCTATTGTGATAAAATATTTTAAGCATATGAAACTTGTTACACAACACATGGAATCTCTAATAAATTTATTCCTGAAAACATAATAAAATCATAAAAGGAGAGCAGATGTATTGGAACTTCCTGGTCTTTTGTTAATCCACAGACACTGATTGGTTTAATATATTTCCCAAGTGACCCTCATTAGTACAGCGTACCAAGTTCCACATGTTCCACCGGTTATAATACGTCTGGATTATAAATGGTAGTAAGCTCCATATGAAACTGTTGCTATGTGGTTTTGGTGAATAAGTTGCAGCTGGCTGTAACTCTGCTCGACTGACCAACAGGTCAGCTATAAACACCGCTGCTGCTTCGAGCATCACTGGCTTATTTCACAGTACTCCATGTTTCAGTGCGTTTCAACGCTGCAGCCGCGTGTGCAAAGAACCTGTACAAAGAACATGCTGACAGTCAGCAAAACGCAGCAGCTCTGAACAAAACAGGAAAATTCATTAATTCTTTAGTGTTTTTCTTGGCAAACAGCTGAGTTCAGGGGACTGCCTTATATCATGAGTACACACTGATGTCATGACAGCTTAAAGTTATATTCAAAATAAGCATGTGATGACTATAATTTGGAGTGAGATCGCAGTCTGCTTCGCTGTGAGAATGGTTTGTTTAGAGTGACACAGGTTGTTCATTTTACACACATTTTACACATGCATTTTGAATGTAAGCCAAAAAAAGTTTCATTTTTGCCTCATATGACCAGAGAATCATCTCTGTTATGTTCTCTAAATATTTGAGGTAACATAGAGGCATGCTAACATTTTTTTGTGCTTTTTTTTTATTGCCAGATCTGTGGAGAACAAGACCGATCCGTGTCCTGTCAGCAGACAGTCCCACCTGAGCTCTGGACCTCTGCAACTCCTCCAGAGAAATCATGGGTCTCTTTGTGTTCTCTGTTTTCCATTTTCTCTATATTTGAGCTTGCAACTAACTTTCTAGGTTTTCAGTTGTGTCACACCTTTGTCTTTTTGGATGATGATCTAAACCAGGGGTCACCAACGTGGTGCCCGCGGGCACCAAGGGGCCCCTCATGGACCACATTGGGTGCCCTCAGACTTCTAAAAAAAGAACAATTCACTAGGGATGCACGATATAATCTGCCCCCTATCGGTATCGGCCTGTATCGGCCTTAAAACTGAATATCGGACATCTGCCACCCCACCGATATTTAACCCGATATTTGATCAGCTTCTGAGTTTCTAAAGTTTAAAAAAAAAAATAAAAATACTACTTCTTCTTCTTCCTCAAAAACTTATTTTTTACAGACTTAAAAACTTCTAAAGACGAGGGAAAAAATATTGATACATTAAAATATCACAATATCTTTATATGCTGATATATTGCCATTTAAAAACACCATATCAATCTCTTTTACTAATGAAATAATGTTATATGTCATCGTTATGCTAGAAATGCCCCGAAAATTAATGAAACTTGGCCATATTTTTATATGTTGATATATTGACGCGGTATCGATCTATTTTACTAACAAAATCTCACAAGAATTTGCAAAATATCACAAGAGTTTGTAACAGAACGATGAAATTTCATGAGATTTTGAAAGTAAAATAGATCGATACCGCGTTTTTAAAAATCAATTTGATATCAGCATATGAAAATATATTTGAGTATATTATTTTTCAAAGTGTCAGAAATGGATAACAAAACTGCTATTTTCAATGACTACTTATTTGTGTCCAGCTTTAACATCAGAATCGATATCGGTTATCGGCTACATGAGTTTTAAAATATCGGCATATCGGATATCGGCCAAAATCCCAATATCGTGCATCCCTACAATTCACCAGTGGGCTAAGTTTGCAATTCTATTCTATTCTGTTTCTGTCCTTTTTTTAAATAATTTATAGATCATTTTAAAATGACAATGTCTAAAAACTTAAAGGAAAGAACTTAAAGGAAACAATAAAAATGTTTATAATGTAAAATGAAGTTTAGGTGAACATCCTTGCTGTGCATGGGTCAGTATTGGTAGCCCTTCCTATGACTCGGTACCCTTGAAGTGGCCCTCAGCCTTAAAAAGGTTGGTGACCCCTGGTCTAAACAGTGCCTTTTGGGATTGGTCAGAATAGTTCTGCATCCTAACATTGCACACGTCTCCACATCTTCATCTCTGTTTTCTTTCTGTTGTATTCTGTGGTTTTTATGATGCGGTTTGTTTACAGCTATTTTCTAAGGCCCACTCAGGACAGCTGGTTTTACATCAGGATTAATATACACACAGGCAGTGGCAGAGCCAGAAACCTTACACAGGGGTGGCCAGGCAGGAAGACGTTGTGTACTGAGTGGTGACTGAAAACTGACAGGCGCCAAAACCAGTTATGGTCAATCTACACTAACCAGACTGTACTAATAGGAAAATAAATGAGGAAAAACATCTGTATTTTCCAAACCAATCAATCAAACAGATTAGATTCTAATGTTATTGTATCTTTTACAACATAGAGGACTTATACTTAACTCTACCTTCTCCCTATAAAACACGAGAGCTGGCTCGGAAAAAGAGCATCAATTCTGTGTTTGTCAGTTATGTCAATATCAGTTTACTGTTCATAAGATACTGTGTATATAAGTCACCTTAAATCTCTCCCTCTTTATTTTTCACCATCCACTGTATATATCTGAATGCACTGTATATACTTCTGTTGTTTATAAGAGCCAAAGTCACAGGTGAATTTCTCCATTGTGAGATCAATAAAGTTCTATGCTACTATTGATGTGAATAATAAATAACTGTATTTTTATTCAGTTTTTAGCAGCCAATATGCTGTAATTTAGAAGATTTTCTTCTGCCATGGGACTTAACAGGTAAACATTAAACAATAAACATTAACTTGGTGACTGGTGAAGGTAATTTGGCCGAACTGGATTTCATTTTGGGGAATCATATTAAAGAGGAAGAGCCATTACAAAGCAAGCCAAACGTTTCAGGCTTTTATTTGTAGAAAGAAAAGGTTAAGTCCCCTATGTTGACTGTAATGCAGGGGAATCCAGGGTAAATACTTTGCCAAGTCGCAATGACGCCTTAATGTTAGGGGGGGAGTATTAGCATGTCGCAATACGATATGTGTCCCAATACTTGGGTCACAATACAATAACATCACAATATTGCAATATCACCATATATTGCAATATTTTTCCCAGCTATCAAAATTAAATATATACATAAAAAAAGTGCTGTATATGTTCATCAGAAGATATTGATCATTTAGTTATTTTGGTAACCATGTTGTGACTAACCTGACTCCGCCAGATGGATTTGCTCCGCATATCCATCTGGAAACCTTCGGTTGAAGTAATTTTGGGAAGGGGCGAAAATTAGCTGATTGGCCTATGTTGGTGATAGACGGACCAAATAAAGCAATCAGATCAACGAAGCATATGACGTACTAACAGGACGACGACGAAGAGGAGCCAATTGATAGATCAAACTCTTGCCGAAACCAGTCGGGAGAAGAGCAAAAACATCTTTTCCTCTGAGAAAAGCCTCCAGAGCAGTGTTTTGCTCTTCTTTCATTGAAGAAATACTCTGTAATTCCGATAAAACTTGCTCGATAGCCACGCTAACGCTAGTTTCATCGGCTGAAGCCGCCATGTTCTTTAGACTGAACTGTCGCGCTTCTCGTTGCGTCACACCTCAACCCGCCTCAAAGCCAACGCTGATTGGACGTTCGTTTGGTGAACGGCTCCAAATTTTCTTTAACGGAAAGTAGTCAGACTGATCTGCGAGTGAAACCTTGAAAGCTTGCGAGATCAGGATGGTCTCACGAGGCTATGTTGTGACTGGCTTAACTTCAGATATGGCGCTATGCCGCACAGCAAAAGGGCTCCACAGTACTATCTGACAGAGTGGCATTGTTTTATGTAAAATGTTTTGGGTTTTTTTAAATCGATATTAGGAACTGAAATATCGATATTATATCAGGCAGAAGAAAATCACAATATAAGCCAAACGATACATACAGGTGCTGGTCATAAAATTAGAATATCATGAAAAAGTAGATTGATTTCAGTAATTCCATTTAAAAAGTGAAACTTGTATATTATATTCATACATTACATACAAACTCATATATTTCAGATGTTTATTTTGTTTAATTTTGATGATTACAAATGACAACAAATTAAAATCTCAAATTCATCATATCAGAAAATTAGAATATTGTGAAAAGGTTCAAAATTGATGGCCCCTGGTGCCACACTCTAATCAGCTAATTAACTCAAACCACCTGCAAAAGCCTTTAAATGGTCTTTCAGTCTAGTTCTATAGGCTACACAATCATGGGGAAGACTGCTGACTTGACAGTTGTCCAAAAGACGACCATCGACACCTTGCACAAGGAGGGCAAGACACAAAAGGTCATCGCTAAAGAGGCTGGCTGTTCACAGAGCTCAGTGTCCAAGCACATTAATAGAGAGGCGAAGGGAAGGAAAAGATGTGGTCGAAAAAAGTGTACAAGCAAGAGAGATAACCGCACCCTGGAGAGGATTGTGAAACAAAACCCCTTCAAAAATGTGGGGGAGATTCACAAAGAGTGGACTGCAGCTGGAGTGAGTGCTTCAAGAACCACCACACACAGACGTATGAAAGACATGGGTTTCTGCTGTCGCATTCCTTGTGTCAAGCCACTCTTGAACCACAGACAGCGTCAGAAGCGTCTTGCCTGGGCTAAAGAGAAACAGGACTGGACTGCTGGTGAGTGGTCCAAAGTCATGTTCTCTGATGAAAGTAAATTTTGCATTTTCTTTGGAAATCAAGGTCCCAGAGTCTGGAGGAAAAGAAGAGAGGCACTTCATCCACGTTGCTTGAAGTCCAGTGTAAAGTTTCCACAGTCAGTGATGGTTTGGGGTGCCATGTCATCTGCTGGTGTTGGTCCATTGTGTTTTCTGAGGTCCAGGGTCAACGCAGCCACATACCAGGAAGTTTTAGAGCACTTCATGCTTCCTGCAGCTGACCAACTTTTTGGAGATGCAGATTTCATTTTCCAACAGGACTTGGCACCTGCACACAGTGCCAAAGCTACCAGTACCTGGTTGAAGGACCATGGTATCCCTGTTCTTAATTGGCCAGCAAACTCTCCTGACCTTAACCCCATAGAAAATCTATGGGGTATTGTGAAGAAGAAGATGCAATACACCAGACCCAACAATTCAGAAGAGCTAAAAGCCACTATTAGAGCAACCTGGGCTATCATAACACCTGAGCAGTGCCACAGACTGATCGACTCCATGCCACGCCGCATTGCTGCAGTAATACAGGCCAAAGGAGGCCCAACTAAATACTGAGTGCTGTACATGCTCATACTTTTCATGTTCATACTTTTCAGTTGGCCAACATTTCTATAAATCCTTTGTTTTTATTGGTCTTCAGTAATATTCTAATTTTCTGATATGATGAATTTGAGATTTTCATTTGTTGTCATTTGTAATCATCAAAATTAAACAAAATAAACATCTGAAATATATGAGTTTGTATGTAATGTATGAATATAATATACAAGTTTCACTTTTTAAATGGAATTACTGAAATCAATCTACTTTTTCATGATATTCTAATTTTATGACCAGCACCTGTACATCCCACACCCCTACTTAATGTGCATGCAGTTGGTCCATCTCATTTTTAACACCTGAAAGGGTGCCCTCCTTAGATTACTTGAATATGTTTATGGAGTCAAAATCTAGCCAAAAGTGCACAAGCGTTATGCCTATTCAAGCTATTTTATTTAAAAGACATCCCTGTAAACTACTCTCCAATTTGAAACTTTTATGCATGAAATAACATGACAAGAGCTGGCCGATATGTCTTAAACTGACAGCTAACTAACACGCTTTTTTTCTTACTAAATCAGATTTATTGTTTTGGGGGGTTTTTCCACATAAGTTTCATAATAAAAATAACAAATAGCATATTAAAAAATGAGTTTTTATTGTATTTATCCCATCTGGGAACGTAACCTGAAAGGGCAATGAAATTCAAAATTATGTTTCACAATAAATGATGAAAATGGATCATATTTAATGTTTACAGCTAGTGGTGTTATGCAGTGAGCTAATTTATCAGCTATGACTACACATGTAAGAGCAAAACGTAATGAGCTAATGTCACTCTGAGCTTTGGAAACCTGAGGACTGATTAAAAACCTCTTTATTTTCCAAAAATGAAATCTTCATGAACAAAAAATTCAATCAATCAATAAATTCAATTAATCCTCCAGCCCTACCACGAGGCCCCCATAATGCCCCAACCATGACTGCATGCTCCTTCTCTGTTGCCTTTTATAAGCCTGTAGATTCTCTCTTACTCACTTTTGGACTTGTTTCTGGCTTCTTATCCAAAAGCCTTTCCTATCATCAACTGACACATTTATAAACACGCTCATAGATAAAATCCCAATATAATAATTTATGATTGAATGAGACAAATTGTTCAGAGGTTGAATAAAAGCTTGAGTTGCTTTAAACATTTTAACAGAGATATGAATAAAAAATGGTTTTCAATGTTTCTACATCTTGATGAGAAAAAAGTTGCTGTTTTTTTCTCTACCTTCAGGAATGAGAGTTGTGAAAAAAAGCTGAGCTCTGTGACTCTTCAACCTCTTCTGTCCCCAGTAGGCCACCGTCTGAACAGATATGACATAGGGAGTGCTAGGCAGGAGCCCCTTCAACCACAGCTCAGTCTGTGCCTGTAAGATACAAAGTCGCTTGGTTTATTTGTGGACAACAGGGCGAACACTGGAAAAATGATCTAGAAATAAGTAAAAATGTCTTAAATTAAGTGTATTTACCGTTAATTTGAGTAGTTTGAATGAGATAATTTGCCATTTTAAGATTATTTTTATTCTTAAAATAAGATAATTAGATAACATGCACTTGAAATAAGACAATACAATTGTGTTTTCTTATTTTAAATGTAAATTGTCTTGCTCCATTGGCAAAATGTCACTTTTACCTCCTCAATACAAGAGCAAATGTACGGAAGAGGATTAGGGCCACTGAAAAAAAAAAAATTAACTGATTTTTAAATTTTATTTCAGTTTAACATGGGAAAAAAGTCAGAATTCTGACTTTAATCTCAGAATTCTGACTTTTATTATTGTCAGAATTCTGTCAGAATTCTGAGATTAAAGTCAGAATTCTGAAAAAAAAAGTCAGAATTCTGACTTTTTTGCCATACTAATTTGAAATAAAATTTAAAAATCAGTTAACTTTTTTTTTTTTTTTTCCACTGGCCCTAATCCTCTTCCGTACAAATGCACTTATTTTAAGAAAAAATTACTTTTCTAGATTTCGTTTTTTTCCAGTGAATCTGTTCTGTATAATCTTGATGTTTAACGGACAGCTAACTAACATGCTCTTAGTCAATCATCTCCATTTTCTGTCAGAACAAAGAGAGGCACTACAGTAAGGAGGAAAAAAACAAACAAAAAGCAGAAACATGTCCATTACCCTCAAGATAGACAAAACATATGGACTGCACAGCTGCACATGTAAATGCGCATGAATTGTAAAATTAAGCAGCAAAAGCCAGGATTCATGTTTCAGTGCATAATCTCCATAGACAGTTTAAAAAGACGTTAAAAGCTTAGACAGATTTCTTGTTCTCATTCTCTAGCATATGATGTCCCCAGATGTTGCCAGATCTCCATAACGTTCCAGATCAGACAGTAAATGTCGCTATACTGCATAAAATGAAAGCCAAAAAAAAAAAGATACTGCAAATCAAACTTGTTTTGATATTTGCCATCCAATATTCAACAGGAGGTTGTTGTTTTCCTGTTTGATACCTGTTGTGATGCTGCTGTTTGTGTTGGTCTGCATGCTGTTGCAAAAAGGAAATACTAGTTAGGGGGGCTCATTTAAATTCCAGACTCCCCAGCCATGCAAAACAGAGGAACAGACTGGAGATAAATGGCTCCACCAGACGGAGTCTGAAATCCCCATTAGTATTTGGGATAGCTGGGTCCATATGATTCTGCATGCAACCTCAATATTTTATGGAGGAAGTCACAAAGAAGTGGAAGCGCTTCCATTTTTCAAAACAGTTTTTGCTCCTTCTGTTTTCTTGATCTTTGCACTGGATTCAGGACACACACTGCATTTAATAGATACAGGAACAACCCCACGCATTAAGTCAAGCAGGTGCAAGCCATTTACATGTGTTTTTGCTTCGGTTTACAGCTGTCTTCTCTTCAGCCACATTCACAGCAGATACAGAGTAAATATGATTTAACTTTGTACATTTTCTTATTAACAATTTTAAAACTGTAAGAACACCATCTGACTGGAATAATTAGGTCGTAATTAAGTTGCAATCAGTAATAAAGGCTGCAGGCAGTAAAAGATGTAGGAATTATGTACTGAACTTAAAACGGTCGGGTGTGCGTTAAACTACACTCATCTGAACACTCTTCATTGTTACAGCCTCACTAAGCACAGCAGATCCAACAATTAAGAATATGTTGGAAATGCAAGCGGAGGAATAAGCAGAAATTGATAAAACCAAAGGGAGATATAGTGTATACTGAGGAGATGACGGTTAGAATAAGATGAGGGGCTGAAATTGGATGAGAACTTAGAAAACCGAAACATAGCGGATCTAAAAGAATGACTTGCAGACCCAGAGCTGAACAAAGAGTTTTTTTCTGAATTGCCAACACCAGTAGTACCACATGGGCAACTTCCTCCCCTTTCTAAAAGAAAAATATAAAGCAAAAAGAAGCAAATATATCAGATATTGTAAAGAGAATTCCCTATTTTTCTAAACTCTTTATAAATGTCATAAGTGTGTTGTTCTACGTTAGCAAAAAGTTTTCCAATCTTTTATGATTGCACTGTGGATTAACTGTTTAATTAAATTGGAGTTTCAGTATTCCTGCGTTAAAGGATTTGTCTCGGTGTGTGTATACATAAGCGCTGCCTTCGGCGTAGGCCCCGCCCCCTGCTGGCCCAGAAATATAATAAAAAAACATCAATGCCAGTTCCACATTGTTGCTTACTTAGCAACTTTGTCGCTATACCTACGATGATCAGAGATGGCAAAAGTACTCACTTTCCGTACTTGAGTAAAAGTACAGATACTTGTGTTAAAAAATACTCTGGTAAAAGTGGAAGTACTGATTAAACTTCTTTACTCAAGTAAAAGTAACAAAGTACAGGCTTGTGAATTTACTTAAAGTATAAAAGTAAAAGTAGAAACCACTTTTTTCATGCCGTTGCCTACATTTTAAATGGATGTCTGCCAATAGGACTAGATCTCCGTTGTGTTCATTTTCAATCATCTCGTCGTCCATGCTACTATGCTAACGCCACCGCCACCAAGCTGCAATGATTTGCCGCCAATGAATACCGCCGAATCTGTCGATTCATCTTGTAGTGGTGCGTCAAATAGAACGTAGATTCCCATCCAATTAGATTGAATTTGGTATTGATGACGTGAAAAATAATAACGGTAACTCCGTTGAGTTACCGTTATGATTCAAAACTAAAGTAACGAGCCAATTTTTTAAAATGTAAGGAGTAGAAAGTACAGATATTTGTGTAAAAATGTAAGGAGTAGAAGTAAAAAGTCGCCATAAAAATAAGTAGTAAAGTAAAGTAAAAATATCAGAAAAATCTACTTGAGTACAGTAATGAAGTATTTGTACTTCGTTACTTCCCATCTCTGACGATGATTCTGCATAATAGTATGCATAAAGGTTACCCTTAACCAACATGAAACTCGAACATTAAATACAAATCAGGAAAAGAAGAGAACATACACAGAGTGTCAGACTAGTCAAAATAAAACAAGAACCTACACATTAAGTTGTATTGTAAACAAAGTTCAAACTATATGGAGATTGTTTTGATAAAACAAATCTTTGTAGTACGGAAGAGGATTAGGGCCAAAAAAAGTTAACTGATTTTAAAATTTTATTTCAGTTTAATATAGGAAAAAAGTCAGAATTCTGACTTTAATCTCAGAATTCTGACTTTTTTCTCAGAATTCTGACTTTTTCTCAGAATTCTGACTTTTTTCTCAGAATTCTGACTTTAATCTCAGAATTCTGACAGCTAACAAACATGTTAGCATCAAGCCATAGCCATGTCTGTTTTAGAGACTAGCTATCTTGTTTTAATGACCTTCTGCTCCTCCATTAATGAGGGGACCCCTCGGGCACGTAAAAAGTTGCCTAATTCCGTCATTTTCCACCAATGTGTCACTGGCCACCTCAAACAGCTCAAATCTTTGTCAGCAAGCTGAGTGCTCCCACATCTCTTTTTTCATGGTACCCATCTACATTAAGATCCAAAATTGTGAGATTAAAGTCAGAATTCTGAGAAAAAAGTCAGGATTCTGAGATTAAAGTCAAAATTCTGACTTTTTTCCCATGTTAAACTGAAATAAAATGTAAAAATCAGTTAACTTTTTTTTTTTTTTCAGTGGCCCTAATCCTCTTCCGTATTGTAGCAATATAATCCACACCATAATAAGGAAGAGCGGGAATTCTACCTTCTTCATTATATCTGACCAACATTTTTGAGTCAGCAATGAAACAATTTGGTGCCTTTTTGATCTTTAGCACTAAAAGTATCGGTATCACTATCTCCAGTAAAACTGTTGAGCAGGAACAGCCCTTATCGCTCTCATTTTTTAAAGTAGAAAATATTTGGTACTGGGTTTTCCTCTGAACTGCATGTGTTGGCAAAACTGTGCAGAGTTGCACCATTTGCACAACAGAGCTGTTTTAGGAGGTGATCTGACTTAGGTTCCAGTTTCATAACTGTACATTAAGGTATGCAGCTATTGTAGCATTAAAAATTATTGTTAATATATATTTTTATCTTTATAAGAACTTTGATTTATGGTAAAAACAATAAACTTTGCAAGATGGGTGGTCACATACCACCAAAAATATAATTATTGTTATAATCATTACTAATGACAATTTTCCAATGTAGTTTTCATGAGAAAAACACTTTTTTTATCTGATCCCAAATATAAATATATGATTTTAGCGATAAGACGGCACTACTTAGAGCCACCGGTGTCCTAAAGTACTTTATTTAATAGTGAGTTGTTGCTTCCTTTTTGCTTTTTTTGTGTGTGTGTGTGTGTGTGGGTGTGTAGGTGTGTGTGGGGTGGGCTGCATCAAAGCTATGTGTGTTGATGATAATTAAGGGCATTTCACTGCTGGACTTAACTGCATTACAAACCTCTTTCTTCACAAAAACACCTATAATCAGGATAGCCACACCCTCCATTATAAATGTGACTGTATTTTTTTTTCTATCAATTTACAAAAATGTATAGAAACTTAAAATTTAAATGTTTAATCTAAACAGACAGAATTAATCTTGTTTTATTAATTTCGATTTCATTACTGTTATAGGAGGCCATTGTGTGAAAAAAAGTTATATTTAGCATTTTGGATCTAATCTTGCATTTTAAAGACATAGCATCCTGAGTTAGTAACACTCTGTCTGTACATTTCCAGATGTTCTGATTAACCCAAAAGCTTTGGGGTAACCACTTTAAGTTGCCCGATGTGTTTACGTGTCCTTTAAAAGAGTCCTTTAACAAAATCAGATTTATGACCTTTTCAAAACAAAAACATCTGATGCTTAAAGTCCATCAGGACTTGAACAACTTTAAACAACCAACAGAATAAACATGGAGAGTCTTATGTGTTTTAAATTTTTAACAAAACAAATAAGCAAAACATTATAGGAGAAAAATTCAGGGGATGATCAGCATGCAAAACCTCAGTTTATAAATGAAACTAGGAGGAAAAGTATGACTGCACTTAAATATTGTGGTATATTTGAAAAAATAACACTGAACATTCAAGGTATACTATGCAACCGGTGTTGATTTTCCAGCGAGGCTCCCCCCAGGGGGTGAAAGTAAAAGTGCACTGTCGTAAATATGCTCAGCTGTTCTCCTGGTTTCTCCATCAAGCCAGGCGCGGTTGTTTTGAGCTTAGCAGACAGGCGAATGCAACGAATCACCATGTCTACTGTGGTAAGTTACTATTTAGTTCCAATATTCGAGTTTGAAATTTTTCGCTGGTTCCGACATGATAACTGCACAAATATCGCCACTGCGCTAGCAACGAGCATGCCTTTCACTGGGGGCGTGTAGCAGTTCTCGCCGAAAAGAAAGACCGACTCTTGCGATGCACGAGACTTCTGAGCCTGTGGGTGCGGGCCGAGGGCTCCTGCAATTGCAAGTACTGTATGTGTACTGTATTTCCCCTACAGACCACCAGGCGGCCGAGAAAACCTTTGTTCGACCTGAAATTACTTATTTAATCATCCAAAAGTTATGGAACACATTAATTAACTGAAAAATTTTGCATAGTACGCCTTTAGTAGCTACCATAGAAAAGCATCAGCTTACAGGCACTCCCACCTTAAGCACACATCACTAACGTGTGGCAAGCGGGATTTCTTTTCTCCCTCAATGTTTGTAAGGCTCTGCACAAGGCGATTATGGGCCTACCTTGGTTTGCAATATTTTGGGTTAAGAGGATGTTGTAATGAGTTGGTGGAGGTAAATCCAGCTGTTTTGACAGTAATCTACCTGTAAATATGATTATAGCTTCTTTTATGTCACAGGGGGTTAGAGAGGACATGACAAAGTCAGCTTTTCCAGGTTTTATGGTTGATACTTCATCTTTGAAATGTACCTCTTCTTTATTTGTTTTTCTGTTTTTGTTCTTAACAATTTAAAATACTGATATTATGTAAGGTGTACTATAAATAATAATGCATGTCATTATCACCTTAATGCCTTTGAATTTCACCCTTCTTGAATGTCCACTCTTAAAATGCTAGAACACACAATTTACCCCTTTGTATCACAATTTACCCCTTTGTATCACAATTTACCCCTTTGTATCACAATTTACCCCTTTGTATAGGGCTGAACATGATCTGTTTGCAACTCTTATCCTGTGCAATCTTTGTAAATCACCTGCAACCTGCAAACTTATTGCACACATAATTTTTCTTTTGTAGCCAACCTGATTTTAGCACTAATTTAGACGAAGATTAGGCTCTGAGTGTTTGGTTGTCACATTCACATTACTAAAATCCTAAAATTGATTCAGACACTAAGAAAACTTGATATTTTACACCACATTTGATACTATGGCAAGGTTAATTTTAAAGGTACAGGGTTTTATCTAATAAACATCAAACAACTACTCAATTAACCCTTTAAAGCCCGATCCAAGAATAAAATAAAACAGAAAATTACTTTTTTTTTTGGTTTGAAGTCCTTATTTGGCCTTTTAACAAAATATATATATAAAAAAAACAGAAATACATTTTTGATATTAATAATTTATTACTATTTGATAAGTCAAGATTATTTTTTGTGTAGTCTTCTACCCTCTGTTATCAGGTATATCTGATTGTGTACAATAGAATTTTGAGCAAAGTTTTTACTATTAAATTATGCAAAAGCTGTCAGACGCAAAACTTTTAAAAAAACCGTATGTATCAAATATGATACATTTGGCATTATAGGGTTAAGTAACTTTTTTAATAAGGGAAAATTTGTAATTTTGTTGGCAATAGAGTCCAAATCATCAAGTTGAAAAGGTTAAAAGTGTCGCCTTCTGGTACACCAAAACAGTGTTTGTTCCTGTTTAACAGAGATGGCAAAAGTACTCACTTTCCGTACTGGAGTAAAAGTACAAATACTTGTGTTAAAAAATACTCTGGTAAAAGTGGAAGTACTGATTAAACTTCTTTACTCAACTAAAAGTAACAAAGTACAGGCTTGTAAATTTACTTAAAGTATAAAAGTAAAAGTAGAAACCACTTTTTTCATGCCGTTGCCTACATTTTAAATGGATGTCTGCCAATAGGACTAGATCTCCGTTGTGTTCATTTTCAATCATCTCGTCGTCCATGCTACTATGCTAACGCCACCGCCACCAAGCTGCAATGATTTGCCGCCAAGGAATACCGCCGAATCTGTCGATTCATCTTGTAGTGGTGCGTCAAATGCAACGTAGATTCCCATCCAATTAGATTGAATTTGCTATTGATGACGTGAAAAATAATAACGGTAACTCCATTGAAATGATTCAAAACTAAAGTAACGAGCCAATTTTTTTAAATGTAAAGAGTAGAAAGTACAGATATTTGTGTTAAAATGTAAGGAGTTGAAGTAAAAAGTCGCCATAAAAATAAGTAGTAAAGTAAAGTAAAAATATCAGAAAAATCTACTTGAGTACAGTAACGAAGTATTTGTACTTCGTTACTTCCCATCTCTGCTGTTTAAACAGAGACAGTATCAAAATACCGAATTACAGTGCAGTTATTTCAATTATAAAGCAATTAACGTGTAACAAAAAAATAAAACATCTTTAAACACACTAAAGGGAAAATCAGTTACACTATTCTTTCTCAGCATAATGTAGTAATTAAATCTTCTTACCCCATGAGTCAGTGCGCTATTGCTCTCCTTTTTACCCTGTTCATGCATATGCTTGCTGGTTAGCTCTGTCTGTGGATAAGTTTGGACCATGTGTTTATGAGTTTTGCGTGCTTGTCGAGACGTCCAGGTTATTCTGTAGTTGTGAACAGGCAGGTCTCCCTCTCTGGGGGGCTCCCATTGCAATAACACTGCCGCTGTGGCTTTTGCTTCATCCAACCTGAGGAGGGAAAGCTAAAAGTCAAACAACATCATAAAAGGAAAGTTCCTGATAAAAAAAATGCTAGAGGAATTTTCTGGGAGTCGGATGTAGATGTGGGAGTAAAATCTTTCAGGGTTGGGCTGACCATTTGCTTTTTGCATGTATGCTAAAGGCGCCACGCTTCACATCACGCTGAGTACAAGCTACAATTTAAGTCATCACCTCTGTTATTAAAAGCTGATCCAAGATGCGACCTGAACTTAGTGTGAACTTGTTTCATAACACTCAAATGGAAAAGACACCAGAGTGTGTAATTGAACAAAGATGAACTATAATTTGCTGGCAGACACAAGAACTATTAATCCTCTTGGCCACAGTTTATGAGTGTCTGACCAATTTGCAATGCTTAAAGGGTGCTATTTTAATTTAGAAAGCCATCTTGGTTCTTTTAAAATGTTCTCACATACCTTTCTGTGAACTCAGGTGCCATTTGTGTATCTGTCCATTCTAGACTCTGATTGCTCACTTTTAAATTTGTCGGAGGCTCAGGAGGGGATGGGTCTATAAAGAGATAAGAAAGAAGAAAACCTTGAAGAAAAATTTGAAGCATGATGTCATTTTTGGCTACTTAAAACCATCATATTTAGAAAATAATTGATTTAAAAAAAACAGTGTGAAATGAACTTATTTAACAGCTAATAACTAACGTAAAACAAAAGAAAACTTTATACTTTTCTTTGTATAAACATGTGGTAAAAGAAGAGATGGGAAATTACTAACATTTAGTGATTAAATTAGTAACAGTAACAGTCTTATGCGTTGGATTCAATTTATCTGTGTAAAAAATTCTGCAATTAGATAAATGACAACATAATGTTATATAAAAATTCTGGTCTTAATAGACCAATATAAAATAATACAATAAAAAAATATCGAAAAATAAACTCAATCAGAAACACCTTAATTTGTTTCTCCAACATAAAATCTTTTAAGCTATTAATTACCATGCGTAATGTAAGTACTTTGTACTACGCATTACCTCTGTTTTCTTTTTCTCTGCTTAGATGTAATATAAAAAAAAGGCTGGGATAAGACATTAGCCATGAAAAATAAAAGCTTTCCTGTAAATTTATTATTTATTCTCTAGATGCACAGTATTTATATTGTTAAAACACTTTACAGTACAGTATTTTATTTGCTTACTTTTTTAACTCGTCATTATTATGTTATTCTTATACATTTTTCACATTTGTGTGACCTTTTTTTTTAAATAATCTTTTTGCTGCTGTAAACACCAGAATTTCCCCATTGTGGAACAATAAAGGGCTTTTCTATTCTATTCTATTCTATTCTATTCTATTCTAAAAATATATAACCCAACTTATCACAGTCACTGGGATAAAAATAATTAAAACATCAAATTTAGAACCTTCACTATTTAAGTCAAAAATATTTTCTAAATAGTTTCAATGAATGGGGCCTAGAAAGGTGTCTGCCTCTACCTGATCTCTGATCCATTCTTTGCTTGACAAAATTAAATGTTTTAGATCATCCAACGAATATAAATAATAGTCAAAGACAACACAAATAAAACACAGAATACAGTTTTTAAATTAGTTTTCATTATAAATGGAGAAGATAAAAGAATTCCCTCAAATAATAATAAGTGTTTGGTCCACCCTTAAAGCAATAACTCACTGGAAAAAATCAAAATCTAGACGAGTCATTTTTTTTCTAAAATAAGTGCATTTGCTCTTGGATTAAGGTAGTAAAAGAGACATCTTGCCAATGGAACAAGGCAATTTACACTTAGAATAAGAAAACAGAATAGCATTGTTTAATTTCAAGTGCATATTATCTAATTATCTTATTTATCAGAGTAAAAATACTCATTCCATTGGCAAACTATCTCATTTACCTACTCAAATTAAGGGGAAATACACTTAATTTAGAGACATTTTTACTTATTTCTAGATTGTTTTTCCAGTGCTTATATTTGCAATAACTCGTAGGGATAGCTCTGTGGGGGAATTTTGTAATTTAGAAATATTGCCGGGTTTTCCAGCATAAGCTCACATAAAAGCATTTCAGGGTTCAGGTCAGGCCTTTGACTAGACCACTCCAAAGTCTTAACTTTGTTTTTCTTCAGCCATTCAGAGGTTCTGGTTTGTTTAGGATCATTACAACAAACACTCTTTTCAAAAAGCATCTAAAAAACTGGCTCACAACAAAGTTGAATGTCTTCCATTAACAAACCATGCTGCCATTTGTGTCATATATATATATAGTATAATTATTTTTATTTGACTGTTTTATTCTATTTTACTAACCTAAAATCTGTAGTCTAGCGAACATTAATTCTGTATTTTTAAACAAGTTTTGAAGAATTATAGCTGCTTTTATTTATTTTTATATTTGTATTTTTCACTGTAAAATTCTTACTGTTTTGTTTTTATTTAGACAATTTTAAGATCTGTCCAGGTACAACAGATGAAAAACTGTCTTTTGGCTAATTCTGGTGCATTTGCAGGAATGCTTGTTAATTTACACTGTCCCTGTCAAATAAGTAAATATAAATCAATCAATCAATTGGTCTGCTAAAAAAAACAATGTTGGTTTCAGCTTGAGCTCAACAGGTGGCCATACAGACCATTTATTTTTCTCTTTCAGATGGTGGAGGAACAAACACTGACCTTAACTCAGGTGAAGGGGGCCTTTGAGTTTTGTCTTTGAATAATATTAAAATGTATCTAATGTTTTTTTTTCTTTTTAACATTTAACTGTGACAATCGTGCAAAGAAATACAGTAAGAAGTCAAGACTAGGAAAACACGTTTTCACATCACCACAGATCTTTATCAGAGCAGTGGAGACCTGCAAAATGCTTTACAGCTTTTCTAAGAAGGTTTTCATTGTAAATTTAGGCTTATTCAAATATTAAATGAAAAGTTTATTCAACATTTTGGTCATTTTTTTTCTGTTAAAATTGATATTAATTAAAAAAAAAAATTTTAAACTAAATCTGCCAGCTAAATAATTACATTAAGTTCAAATTCTGTGTATGTTTTAATCTTGACTATAAAAATACTCATAGTTTTTGAATATTAAATACTACTAAATTAATTTATTTTCAAATATTTAAAAAATGTGTTGGTAAATCAAAAATAAGGAAATTTGCTTGTTCTGCAACCAATCTAATCCCTAAATTACAGATTTAAATTTTCTTTACATTAATCATAATTTCAATTTTACTTTTTCACCTAGAAGAGTAAGCTTTTGCCCAGCGGGTCTCATTTCTTTTCTGTTGCTGTTTTTTTTTTTTCTACAAAGCATAGCGATCAAGAGATTTTCTTAAAACATTCTAAAGGCATAAAAGGCTAATTTTATCCAAGTCTTATCTGAGATCACAAATTTAATTTATATCATCAAAGTTGAGAGATAACAGAGTAGCCTAAAGCTACTTTCAGTGGCTTCAAAGAGAAAAGACAACTGCCACTGGACACCGTTTGCCTTGTATGAAATCCTGAGGTCAACAGTCTTTCCATGCTCGCCCTGTGTCTCATTAGACCCTAAAGCCCCAAATGCTGTATTTGATTAAAACTACAAAACATATCTGATTAGGACTAAATCCTCACAGCAGGCCTCCCACGGGCCCTGGGCCACGCTCGACTGTCTACAATGCAGAGATCAAAGTTAGGGCAGCAAAAAGGGAGCTGACAGGTCTGACCTCACTATGAGTGGGTGTGTGTGTATGTAGGTGTATCTGTCTACCCCTCAGAGTGAGGACCTTTTTTCCAATTCCACCATCAGATTGAGGACCAGTTGTTGCAAAATGAGGACATTTTGCTGTTCCTCACTCCTCACAAACTACTTTGCTAATGGTTAGGTTTAGGGCTAAGGTGTCAGTTGGTTAGGGTTACGGTTAGGTATGCATTGGCCATGGTTAGATTTAGGGTTGGTTTTAGGGTTAGGGCATAAAAAGGTTTGAAAATGACTGAAGATTAATGGGACAATGGGAGTCAACATATGGTCCTCACTACATATAGCAGAATGAGTGTGTGCGTGGGTGATGTGTTTATCTACCCCTCAGAGTGAGGACAATTTTTCCAGTTTCACTATCAGACTGAGGACCAGTTGTTGCAAAGTGAGGACATTTTGGTGGTCCTCACATGCTATTTTTCAAATGGTTAGGTTTAGGGCTAAGGCATCAATTGGTTAGGGTTAGGGTGAGGAATGCATTGGTAATGGTTAGATTTAGGGTTAGGGCATAGAGGGTTAGGCGTTAGACACTCTCTCGATGACCCCCCCCCCCCCCCCCCCCCCCCACCCAGTCCGACGACTAGAGCAGTTGGTTAGGGGATCAAAGGCATTGCACGGGTCAGTAGCTAATTGATCTGGTAAGTTGATAGCAAGGGCTAAAGTTAGGGTTAGGGTTAGGGTGAGGTATGCATTGGTAATGGTTAGATTTAGGGTTAGGGCATAGAAAGGGCTGAAAAATGACTGAAAATCAATGAAAGTCAACGGGAGTCAACACATGGTCCTCACTACAATGGCAGAACGAGTATGTGTGTGTTTATGGTTCCTTCTGCTTTACAGAAATACTTTCAGTGGCAGAAATTTTAAATCTGTACAGAAAAAGAGAAACAAGTTGTTTGTTTCTCAATGAACTTCATTTTCAGTTGTTCTGGAAATAAAGGCATTTGAAAATGCTCCAGACATTCTGCTGTAATTACAGCTGACAGATTCTGTTCATCTAGAATAACAAGATGAACTCTGAGAAAGTTTTTAAAGTCAGAGTCTCCCACTTAAATGGCATTAGGTCAAAGTGGAAAGCCCACAACAAGCTGGATTTCTTGGCTTCCTGATTTATGACCCTTGAACTCCAGCTCCTGGCTAATGACACATATGAGCTAGAAACAGTCAGATAGCAATCAGACTATATTGTTTAAGTTTGTGTGTCTAAAACATTTAAAACTTTTCCTTAAAATTAACTTGAAGACATTTAAACACATATAAAGCATGTCAACTAACAGCACATTTGGGCTTAGCAAAAGTAATTATGATAATTAGAAATGCTGTTACTATCAAAAGCTAACGCAGATTTGTTGGATGGTTAAAAAAAAACTACTTTAAGCTAATATAATTTAGTTGTTGCATGCAAACCTGAGCTCACCATCTGACCATAGAATACAATGATGAAGAAGTCTTAGTTTGTGATTGCTCTGGTGCAGTACTGGTGATTGAAGTTTAATAAACAGATGACATCATAATGTTGAAATATTAGAGAAATATCTACAGGCATCAGCCTGGAACCAAATAACGGCCAAATTAAGTCATGCAAATGTATATTTAACCTAAGTATGCCACTGAAATAATTAGGGATGCACGATATAATCGGCCCCCTATCGGTATCGGCCTGTATCGGCCTTAAAACTGAATATCGGACATCGGCCACCCCACCGATATTTAACCCGATATTTGATCAGCTTCTGAGTTTCTAAAGTCTAAAACAAAATACTACTTCTTCTTCTTCCTCAAAAACCTATTTTTTACAGACTTAAA